AAACACCCCCTAACATTTCCGGCAGTGAACATCTTGAGTAAGGGCAGATGATTCATGTAGCATTTACTTCCTGTAATCCATCTGCCCTTGGCTTGGGCATTGGCTGAGCCGAGAACCCTCCCCTCCTGAAGACTCCTGAGATGTATGGCATCATTTGCCTAGGCAGAAAACCAGGAAGTAACTGAAGAAATGTTTAAACAAGTAAATATGATATACTTTCCTATCTATTTACTAAAGCTGGCAGCACAAGGATTGAAAATAGTCAATGTTGAATGAGAGAGTGAAGTTCCACTTTATGTTGAATACCTGGCCCAGAAATCCATTCAAAACTTGACCACCCACCTTATTCCCTGACTTAGCACTGTGTGTGGCTGTTTCCAAAATGCTTTAAAAAGGACACAGATTTGATGACGTTCTGGACATCCAGGGCACTGCAACAAAGATACTGCGCAGCATTCCAGAAAATGAATTCCAGGAATGTTTCTGGCAGTGGCAAAGTCATCTATAGAATTGTGCCGCTTCACAAGGGGACTACATTGAATGTGACAACAGCCACTAGTATATAGGTAAGCATACCAATATTATTATTATTATTTTTTTAAAGAGCTCATTCCGGGAAATAAATGTCACAGCTCGTACTTTACTTTTGGTGAGTTTACTAAATTTTTCTAAAACAATGTCCCCAACCCAGAAACTTGGGAAACACACTTGGCTGTCCGATGCCTTTGCTGCGGCTCCCATGAGCAATTTAGGAGGCATCTGTCTTAGATGTAGTCAATGTCTGAGTAAACACTTCCAGCACTACATAAATCAATGAAGAGGTTGCAATCATTTAGGTTTTTGGTATTCTCGTGGTTCAGAGCTGCCCATTATATATCCGAAAATGATTCACAAGCTAACAAAATTATTTTTTATTATATTATTATACAGGATTTATATAGCGCCAACAGTTTGCTCAGCACTTAAAGGGAGACAATACAATACATTTATACAAAGGGTTAGGATGGCCATGTAGGCAGCACAGTGGCTAAATGGTTAGCACTTCAGCCTGGCAGTACTAGGGTCGTTGGTTGGTATCCCCACCACGGCACCACCTGACTGGAGTTTGTATGTACTCCCTGTGTTTGTGTGGGTTTCCTCCGTACGGTTTCCTCCGACATGCCAAACACATGCTGGAAGGTTATTTGAATCCTGTCTAAATTGGCCCTAGTATGTGTATGTATGAATGAATGTAAGTTAGGGACCTTAGATTGTGCGCCCCCCCAAAGGTTAGGGACTGATGTGAATATACAATATATACAGTTGTGCTCAAAAGTTTGCATACCCTGTTAGAAATTGTGAAAATTTTGGCATGGATATTGAAAATATGACTGATCGTGCCAAAAAATGCTCTTTTATTGAAGGATGATGATCATATGAAGCCATTTATTATCAAATAGTTGTTTGGCTCCTTTTTAACTGATAATAACAGAAATCACCCAAATGGCCCTGATCAAAAGTTTCCCTCCCCTGGAATGTTTGGCCTTGGTACAGACACACAAGGTGACACACACGGGTTAAAATGCCAATTAGAGGTTAATGTCCCACATCTGTGGCTTTTTAAATTGCAATTAGTGTCAGTGTGTAAATAGTCAATGAGTTTGTTAGCTCTTACATGGAAGAACTGACTAGGTTAGATACTGAGCCATGGGGATCAGAAAAGAACTGTCAAAAGTCCTGTGTAACAAGGTAATGGAACTTTATAAAGATGGAAAAGGACATAAAAAGATGTCCAAAGCCTTGAATATGCCAATCATCACTTCCACTAAGTAGTAGAGATCCACTTTTTAATAGGTGATTTAACAGTACTGATTGGCATATTCAAGGCTTTGGACATCTTTTTATCACCTTGTGTGTCTATACCAAGGCCAAACATTCCAGAAAGGGGCGGACTGACAACTTATGGGCCCCCCGGGCAATATGGGATCATGGGGCCCCTGTGTCCTTGCCCACACTCAAAAAAGCCTACAAAAAAGGTAGCAGGGACATTTCATGGGGCCCCTTACTGACCCCGGACCCTCAGGCAGTGCCCGAGTGCTCAAATGGTCAGTCCGCCCCCTGATTCCAGGGTATGTAAACTTTTGATCAGGGCCATTTGGGTGATTTCTGTTTATTATGATTTAAAAAGGAGCCAAACAACTATTTGATAATAACTGGCTTCATATGATCATCATCCTCCAATAAAAGAGCATATTTTTGCATGATCAGTCATATATTCAATATCAATGCCAAAATTTCACAATTTCTGCAAGGGTATGCAAACTTTTGAGCACAACTGTATGTAAAGTGCTTCGTAAATCGATGGTACTATACAAGTACCTGTACTAAATAACATAAAAATATTAGGGAATACTTCTATACTGAAGTGTTGAGAATAAATTTTGTTCAGGGAAAATATGGCAGTGGGGGAAGTAATATATCTGGTTATAGCAAATAATCAGATTACAGTGGATAGTTCTCCAGTGCAGGTCAGAATCTGAAGTCCAGAATCAGGCTGAGTCACTTTAGTCCTCCATAAATCAAAGTGACCCTGCGTATAACCCAGCAATGATCAGTGACTGCTAATCTCCTCGCAGTGCCCAATGACCTCATCTGCCCATCAATCACACAAAGACAACTAAACATCTAGTGCTGGGCTACAAGCTGCTGATAACATGTAGAGACAATGCCAACACGGCCGCTGCCAACAGCTGACACAATTGTAAGCTGCCAGTTCGATGGGTGAGAGTTCTCCTATTTTCCAGGTGCCAAGATAAGATCTAGAAGCCTCGATATACTGCTGCCGCTCATTAAAGCTCGGTTCACACTGCCGGGACTAGGGATCCGACTTGTGAGAAATCGCATGGCATGTGGAATCCCATGTTAGTCAATGAGAGCTCTCTTTATTAGCACTACTGAAGTCGCTCCGACTTTAGAAAAGGTTCCCAACTTCCTGTACCACTTCAAGGAGACTTCAATCTGACTTGTGCCCATAGACTTTAATGGAAGTCACCTCAAAGTCAGATCCTTATCTATTTTGATGTGATTTGGATCCGACATTACAGGAAGATTAATATAAATAAACAGCGCAAACATAGACCTCTACATCAAATCAATATATAAAGTGCATATAATATATAATAAAAATTATATTATTAAAAGTCCATCATGATAATAGACAACAAAAGTTCGTGAATCACAAAAAGTTTGTGCAAAAAGATCAAAAAATTCTTCTAATGCAAAGAAACTTCCACCTTCCACCCGTGCAAACCAACATCAAATACACTCACCAGATTTAGGTGAATGAAACGCCAATGTAGGCAATTTTTAATATATATTTTGTCCCACTAATATTTTGTCCGCTGGGAGTAAAACAAGTAGTGATTGGAATATTTTAAAAAGTGTTTTTTGAGCTTTGTAGGTATATGCCTCGTTTGTAAAGGACTCTCACGTCACACAACAGGAGGAGTGGTTTTGGATAATCCTGGGGATGAGTCCTGACCAACTGTAAATGAGGGGTGGGTCCCTTTTGGGTATTTAAGGGAGCTTCAGACAGGAAATGGACGTCTTGAGAACGCCCAATGGGAGGGGCGAAACGCGTTGACGCATTTCCGGTCTTTACCCCGTACGTCTGACGTCACTTCCGGTGAGTGGAGCGCACGCTGAGCGGTGCGTTCCAGCGGCCATCTTTTGGGATCTGTGCATGTTTGTTTCTCTGTGGAGCTTCTGCTGTACCCTGGAGCTGTGATGTGAGATTCCATGGGAGGTTGTCTTACATTCATTGTCCATCTGGAAGAAGCTTGTTCTAATAAATATGCCTTTTTAAAGTGATTTAAATGTGAGTGGCCTTAATCCTTGATTTTATTTAAAACCGGTATTTTGCAATATCACACTATTTGAGATTTTCTCTTCCCGGTTGTATGGTGGAGCCTATACTGATGGTGAGGATTCCTATAGAGTGGATACGAAAGAGGGTTTAGGATCCCATAAAAATTCCTAAAAGGCGTTTCATTCACCTAAATCTGGTGAGTGTATTTGATGTTGGTTTGCACGGGTGGAAGGTGGAAGTTTCTTTGCATTAGAAGAATTTTTGATCTTTTTTGCACAAACTTTTTGTGATTCACGAATTTTTGTTGTCTATTATCATGATGGACTTTCACTATTAATATAATTTTTATTATATATTATGCACTTTATATATTGATTTGATGTAGAGGTCTATGTTTGCGCTGTTTTTTTTATATTCATCACATTTTTGTGTTCATCACATTGCACAGCAGCAGGATAGATCCTGTAGTAGTTTTTTTTCATTGGCGCAGGAAGAATTTTTAGTAGATTACAGGAAGATTACCCAAGCATTCCCTGAAAGTTGCTTCAAAGTTGCTCAAGTCACCTGGCAAAGTCGCACTGTAAGTCGCAGTAGTGTGAACTGAGACTTAGGCTTGGTTCACACTGCTGTGTCTTGGGATCCGACTTGTGAGACCCCAAATCGCATGACATGTGAAATCCCATGTTAGTCAATGAGAGTGGTCTTAATTAGCACTACTGAAGTCACTCCGACTTTAGAAAAGGTTCCTGTATTACTTCAAGGAGACTTCTATCCCACTTGTGCCCATAGACTTTAATGGAAGTCACCTCCAAGTCAGATCCTTATCTATATTGATGTGATTTGGATCCTTCATTACAAAAGATTACCCAGCCAAATTCGCCTGGCATGAAAGTTGCACATAAAATCACAACAAAGTCATACTCAAGTCGCCAGCAAATCGCAAGGAAGTTGCCTGGCAAACTCGCACCATGAGTCACACGACTTTCAAGTCATAGTAGTGTGAACCGAGCATTGAAGTTGAACTAACTACTTTAACCACCTTCCGGCCACCATATAGTACAACGACGGGCGCAAGGTGGTTCTCTCGTTCTGATAGGACGTCATATGACATCCTTCCATTCTCACCGCGCATGTGTGGCTCAGGGAGCGCGCAGCGGGTCACGGATCTTCGTACACTGCGGATCACGGAAGGAGCCGAAGATGTCGGCTCGGTCATGTGATCAGCTGTGTCCAATCACAGCTGATCACATGTAAACAAGGAAATGCCGGTTATCAGCATCTCTCTCCTCTCGGGCGGTAATCGGCTTTCCGCGGAGGGGACATATACACTGATCATCAGAGCACTGATGATCAGTGTGCCCTGATGATCAGTGTGGCCCCAGAAGTGACACCTTTTCAGTGTCCATCAGTGCCAGCAGTCAGTGCTCATCAGTGCCTTGTGCCAGTGCCCATCAGTGCCACATCAATGGCACAGATCAGTGCATACCAGTGCACATCAATGCCACATATCAGTGCCCATCTGAGCTGCCTTTCAGTGCCGCGCATCAGTGCCGCGCATCAGTGCCCATCAGTGATGCCTGTCAATGCCCATCAGTGCAATCTACCAGTGCCTCCTCATCAGTGCCACCTATCAGTGTCCATCAGTGCAGCCTATCAGTGCCCATCACTGCAGCCTCATTAGCGCACATCAGTGAAGGAGAAAAATCACTTACTTACAAAATTGTATAACAAAAACTAAGAAAAAAACTTTTTTTTTTTCAAAATTTTCAGTGGTTTTTGGTATGTTTAAGAAAAAATAAAAATCCCAGAAGTGATTAAATACCACCAAATAAAAGCTCTATCTGTCTCAAAAAAATGATAAAAATTTCATATGAGTATAGTGTTGCATGACTGCGCAATTGTCATTCAAAGTGTGACAGCGCTGAAAGCTGGAAATTGGCCTGGGCAGGAAGGAGGTATAAGTGCCCTGTAGGCTAGTGGTTAAAGTGGTTGTAAACCTATGAAATGAAAAATGAACAAAGCATATCCCTCTATAGTGCATATCTGCCTTGATTCAAAGCAATTAGTGTTCATATGTGATCTCTCCTCCCTACGCTGCCTGCATGAGTCACTACTGACAGGCTAACTCTACACCAAGCAATCCAGAAAAATGGTCTCCTCCCTCCAGCACACAGCAGGCGATTGACAGCCTCAGCTATGCATGTTTCCCTATGAGTGAATGTGGAGGGTGTGCATCCATTTCCTCCACTCAGGTGTAGCGTGTTTTTTGAAGCTGTAATTTTTTTGTCATAATTTTTTTTAAAAGGAATTAAAAAAAAAAATTCACAATTTTTTTTTTTTTTTTTTTTTTTAACATACTGTCACCAGTGCAGTACAGCATCATCATATAACTGGTGTGGCAGTGATCAGGGACATCGACTGGTGACCGTACGAAAAAAAGACTTTTTTTTAATTCATCACATTTTTTTCTTTACTTGTACTGACAGCCTCCCTGGATCCCACCAGATTTGAACAACCTTAGACCCATCTCCCTGCTACCATTTACATCTAAAGTCCTAGAGCGCTGAGTTCCCACCTCACCGACAACAACCTCCTCGATCCCCTACAGTCTGGCTTCCGCCCCCTACACTCCACCGAAACCGCCCTACTCAATCTCACCAACGACCTGCTAACTGCCAAAACCAATGGCCACTATACAGTACTCCTACTCCTCAACCTCTCTGCGGCTTTTGACACGGTTGACCACCCCCTCCTCCTCAAAAAAACTACACTCTCTTGGCCTCAGAGACTCCACTCTCTCCTGGCTCTCTTCCTATCTATCGCAGCGCTCCTTCAGTGTTACCTATAACGCTGCCTTCTCCTCTTCACTCCCTCTCTCTGTCGGTGTCCCTCAAGGTTCTGTCCTTGGACCCCTTCTCTTCCCCATCTACACCTCCTCCCTTGCCCAATTGATAAATTTCCACGGCTTCAATTACCATCTCTATGCTGACGACACACAAATCTATCTCTCTACCCCTCGCCTCACCGATTCAGTCTCCGCCCCGTATCACAAGCCTACTAAGCGACATATCGGTTTGGATGTCACTCCAATTGCTCAAACTAAATCTTTCCAAAACTGAGCTCCTTGTATTCCCCCCAGCCCACACCCCTCCCCAACTTCTCCATCAAGACCAACAACATTATCATCAGTCCCACTCCTCAAGCCAGAGTACTAGGTGTCATTCTAGACTCCAATCTGTCTTTCCAGTCCCAGGTCCAATCGCTGACAAACTCATGTAGGCTTCACCTCCGCAACATCTCCAAAATACGTCCGTTCCTAACCCAGGAAACCACTAAGCAACTCATTTACTCCCTCATTATATCACGACTTGACTACTGTAACTCCCTCCTCATTGGCCTACCTCACCGCAGGCTATCCCCACTTCAGTCTATCATGAATGCTGCTGCCAGACTCATCCACCTTACTAACCGCTCCGTATCCTGCCACCCCCCTCTGCCAATCCCTCCACTGGCTTCCAATTGCCCAACGGATAAAATTCAAAAACGCAAAACACTGACATATAAAGCCATTCATAACACTGCCCCAAATTACATCACCGATCTTGTCTCCAAATATCACCCAAACCGTACTCTCCGCTCCTCGCACGACTCTAGCTCCTCCTACTCTCTAGCTCCCTTGTCTCCTCCTTCCATGCTCATCTCCAGGACTTCTCCATCCTCTGGAACTCCCTACCCCAATCCACCAGACTATCGCCTACTCTGCTCACCTTTAGGAGCACTCTGAAAACCTCTCTCTTCAGGGAAGCCTACCCCGCCCTCAGCTAATACTGAACTCCTCCACTCTTCCAACCACTCCATCCCCCACAGCTATTTCCTCCTGTACCACTATCCCCTCCCTCCTAGATTGTAAGCTCCAAGGAGCAGGCCCTTCGAACCCCTCGTGTATTGAATCGTATTGTTACTGTACTGTCTCGTGTATTGTCTCCCACCATAATGTAAAGCGCTGAGCAAACTGTCGGCACTATATAAATCCTGTATAATAATAATAATAATCCTTTTTTGAATCAGACAGTCCAAGGTATTCAGTAGGAGGCAAGGTGAGTTTTCTAAAGTTGTAATTTTTCGTCACAATTTTTTGGAAAATGAAGCCATTAGAAAAAAAAAATTCTGTTTTTTTTTTTTTTTAAACATACAATCACCAGTGTAGTACAGTGCCATCATATTACTGGTGGTAGCTGTGATCAGTATGAATAAAGAAAAAAAAATGATGTTCTTTTTTTTCCATTTGTCTTTTTTCTTTTTTTTTTGTACACACTGTGACCAGACAATACAATGTTACCATTGTAGCACTACACTGCTCTGAGGAAGTGATCAGGAATTTTTTTTTTTTTTTTTTTTTTTTTTTACACATTATGATTGTTTATATTAGTCAATTTCATTGCTATTAGCAAGCATTTTTACTACCGATTCATTCTGTATATATTCTTGTGATTAGCTGTGATTGGCCCCATCTGTACCGTGTGATCACTGTGACCAATCACAGCTAGCAACAAAACTGTACACAATGAATGGCATGAAAGGAAGCCATTCATTGTTTACAATTGTCATGTAATCTGCTGTGATTGGTCACAGTGTTCAAATGATACTGGCAGCAGGCTAGTACAGTGATCTGTCATTGGCTGTATCCAGTGGACACAGCGGGTGACAAATCGAGCCTGCAGCGTGGCAGTAAAGTCGCATGCATGGTGCGCTCCGGGAGGATGTCATGTGACATCCATACGGAAGGAGGCAAGTCCCACTTGGCCATCAGTTTACGTGTGTGTCTGTGTGTCTGTGTGTGTGTCACGCTAATGACTTGGTATCATGCATTCGTAAAATGTGTGACTATCATTGAGAAAGTAACCTCTGTATAGTATGCTTATTTAGTGAAAAATGGTAATTACCAAGAAATTTCACGTAGCTGTAGTCCTAGCCAACACTGCCATGATAACCAGCCTTTCCCAACCAGGGTTCCTCCAGAGGTTACTAGGGCTTCCATGAGTAGTCAGTAGCAGTCCATGAATCTTCTATCAGTGTTTGTGTCGTTCTGACACCACTCAGCAGTGAACATCAATGTAAGAGGACACTGTACTAACCAGCAAAATAACAGGACATTCTTTCCCCTGACCACCAATATAACATGGATCAGCCATAACTTTAGGACCACCCACCTAATATCAAGTAGGTCCCCCTTATGAAGCCAAAACAGTCTCTACAAGGACTCCACTAGACATCTGAAGATATGTTGTGGTGTCTGACACCAAGCCGTCAGTAGCAAATCCTATCAGTCCTGTGCGTTGTGAAGTGGGGCCTCCATGGCACGGGACTTTTTCCAGCACATTGCAGAGATTGGATTGGGATCTGGAGAATTTGGAGGCCAAGTCAACACTCAAACTTGCTGTCTTCCTCAAACCATTTTTGCAGTGTGGCAGGGCACATTGTCCTGCTGAAAGATGCCACTGCCGTCACGAATACCATTTCCATGAAGGGGTGTACTTGGTTAGCTGCAATGTTCAGGTAGATGGTACATGTCCAGTAACATCCATATGAATGTCAGGACCGAAGTTTCCCAGCAGAACATTGCCCAAAGCATCACACTGCCTCCACCGGCTTGCCTTCCTCCCATAATACATCCTGGTGCCATCTCTTCCCCAGGTAAGCTACAAATATGCACTCGGCCATCCACATGATGGGAAAGAAAACCTGATTCATCAGAGCAAGCCACCTTCTTCCATTGCTCCTCGGTCCAGTTCTGATGCCCATTGTAGACACTTTTAGCTGTGTATACGGGTCGGCACAGGCAACCTTGACCGGTCTGCGACTACGCAGCCTCATTCATAACAAATACTCAACCAAGTTTTTTCTGCTTTTACCACTATCAACTTCAGGGACAACATGTTTACTAGCTGCCTAATATATCCCACCGACTGTCATATACCAGTGTAACAAGATGACCAATGTTAATCATTTAATCTGTCAGTGTTAAGGTGATGGGTGTATATTTAGTGTAGAGGGGATATAGATCCATGGGTTGTATTTATTGTCCTTGTCATTTGAATTCTGATGTATGAATGTTCTGAGGGTGTAGATCCAGCCCTGCCCTCTACTATATGAACATATGGATTTGAACAGGAAATCAGTGAACATTGGAGGTATGTACAGAGGTAGGTGCACGCACTCAGCACCACCCCCACTCTATGATCAGACAGAGGACACTGTATACCATCAGATCTGACACACCATCATTCTGTACAGCCTGTAGGTGGGGAATTCCTTGCATACTGGTGACAACACTATGGAGGTATTTACTACATCTGGTGTAGCTGTCCATGGCAACCAATCAGCTTCCAGCTTCAGCTTGTTCATTAAAGGATAAGATCACCTTTGAACATGTTACGTCCATTTTTAGAGAGGAACATGTAACATGTTCCCATGGCCGCAGCCGCCGCCCTCCCTGTGACAGTACGGGGAGAAGTTTTCCCGTACTGACAGATATGAAGACAACGCAGCTCCGCCCACACGGCTGCGTCACTCATTGACAGACTTCTGCGAATAAGTGCCTACAGGTCCCAGCAGCCTCAG